AGGTTTCCTGACTCCTCCTCTTATGCCCTTCACACACACCTACCATTGCTGTGGGCCTCCCTTCCTTGAATTGTGGCACAAGGGACATGTTACATCGCCTGCACTGTTTCCTTAACTTCTTCAGTAAAACTGTAAGCTACAAGACAGTAAGAATGTTTGTCTCTTGTGAACAATGAATGGTATGTCTCAGTTCTAAAAAAGTGGCACCCAATAAGGCTTAATAAATATTCAGTTTTTTTTTTCCAGTGCAGGGGTCAAACATAGGGTTTGGAGCATGCTAGGTAAGTGCTCTACCACTGAGCGATGTCCTCTGTTTCCTTCGTTTGTTTTGTTTTTGTTTTAAGTGGTGCTGGGTATTGAACCCAGGGTCTTTGCTGTGTCCCCAGCCTTTTTTATGGTTGATTTTGAGAAAGGGTCTTGCTAAATTGCAAAACTGCCCAGACTGGGCTCGAATTTGCACTCTTCCTGCCTCAGACTCCCAGACTGCTGGGATTATAGGTGTGTACCACCACGCCCAGTGTGAGTGAGTAAATTTTGTGTGTGTTTGTTTTCTACAGTCTTAGTAAAGATAGAATAAAAATTGCTGAATTGTCTATTATGTCAAGGATATACATTGTATATAATGTATTTACATACATATTCATTTAAACTTATATACTGGAATGAGACTCTCAATGCTAGGTGAAACTAGAACCACCTGGAAAATTTTTTTTTAGATACCGATATCAAATTCTAGGGACTTGGCTTTCATTAACTGGAGTGAATCTTGGGCATGAACGTTTTAAAAAGATGGAGTTTACAACTTGTTTCTAAAATGCACCCAGCATTTAGAGCATCTGCCTTAGGGAATGTTAGTGGAACTCAGTTTCCCAAACCCAGAAACCGCACTTGTTAAGGTTAGTTAACATTTCAAAGACTTTAATAAACTTCTCTCACTCCACAGGAGGCAACCCCTAGCCCTTCACCTCTGATTAGTACTAAGGGATTGTTAATTACCATTAGAAATGGTGCCAGGTATTTCTGATTAAAAGAGGATGGAGATGTGTGGTTTGGCTAGGAAAGATTATAAGAATCCTGTGGTGTCTCAACGAAATATTTATTTAGCCCTACTATGGGTCAGGCACTTTTCTATGTCTTTAAGTGTCCTAAGCCTATAGGGAGTGGTAACAGCCTCAAACCTTCTGTTACCCACACACAAAAGTGAGCTGAAATCAGTTATTGAAATGTAGTTTCATTTGCTTCAAGTAAACCATTTATGCTAGACAGTGGGCTGGGCTTCGTTGAATTTACAAAATGACTCATGTGATTGTGCCTGTTCACTCACGTGAATTAATATGCATGGCAGAATTCATGCTAAGACATTCCTTACTATAATAAGGCGCCTGCTATAAGGTCTGGGAGCAAGATCCACAGCCTTCACCTATCTCTAGCGTTTGAAGGCCTCCAGTATTGCAAAAAAGAACTTTCCAGTATGGAGAGCCCAGTTGGATCGAAGCAGTTTGTATGAAGGTGCAATCTAGAGCCCCGGGTAAAAGCATTTTAATCTCGATCCTGTTCTTTGAGAGGAGATGAAGGCAGATGCTATAATTCTACCTCAACATCCCTAGGACTTTTCTGCGTTTCAGATATATGGTTTCATTTCTAGCTGGCAAGTCAGGGAAAACAACCTTACACCTTGTTTACTTCACTTTTATGATCCCTTTTGGCATTTTCGAACATGTAACTGAATCATGCTTGGCTGTAAGGATGCTTGGATTCCTGGGCAGGCTCAGTCAGCCACATTTCTGAGCCAAGGAAGGTGAGCAGCTGCTGGGATTGGAAAGGCTATTAACAGAGATGGCAAATGAGCAATTATAAGTGCAACAGTGAAACAAGGCATTCTGCAAGTCAGAATCTGGCTGCAGTCCTTGGGGCTCTCTCTTCCTTTTAGCATTCAGTTGGGTGTTTTAAGGGCAAGCATTGTTACCAACAATAAAATTTTATGTGCTACAAGTGCCTTCAATTGTAGCAAATAAAAGTGACCATTAAAAAAAAAGTGACCATTGTGAAAAGCAGCCTATGTTGTTCATAAAGGGAGCGTGTTTAAGTCAGAGGTTCTGTATCCATACCTGAAAATCATCTAGTTCTTTAAACTAAAGAATAGATTTGTTTGTAGTGATAGAAGATATCTCCAAGACATACTGTGGAGAAGATAAAGATCAAGGATCACATCAACACTCAGGAAGATCTCAACTAAGCAGCATTCTCTTTGTATTATTTTAGCCTTACACAATAATGTATTTATTACTATTATAGTTAAACTGTAGTAAGAGAAGTGGAAGTCTGAGTAGAAGTACAACGTCTTATATTTCCAATTTTACACAAAAGAGAAAATTGCCTTTAGGCCTGAGTTATGGTACATAAAGCCAGGTGGTGTGTGGATGCCATTTTCAGTCCCTGGGTGTCAACAATAGGTGCTGCAAGCCCCAGTTCTCTACCTTTTACTTTCTCTGGCTATAAATAGGGTTATAATTCTGACTGCTTGTCATTTCACTGTAAAACTTTTGAGAGCAGAAAGAAAGGACTTGTGAGGCAATACTAGCAAAGCACGAGGATCGTTCTCCTGTTCATTCTGGTGATAGAGGTTGATACTGCATTGCTAAATAACTGGCGATTCAATGAAAGACTGTGTTGTTTTCATTTATTTTAGTAAGGAAAGTTATGCCCAAAGTTGGAACTATAATAAATGTAAATATAGAAATTTCAGAATTTATCCACTAGGTAAACTGTGATGGAAAGGAAATTTCTCAAAATTAATGAAAAGGAACTCTCTTCTAGTTGATGGTTCATTTATATAAGTCTGTGAATAAGAATTCTTTTTAAAATACAGTTTGTCTTATGTGTTGTTCTGGTCCTAAATGTATCTAGAATCTGTTTTTGAAAAGCCTATCCCCTCCTGTTTGATGACAAACTTGATTACCATGAGAAAAGATTGGCCTGGTAGTGATTTTGCTTATCAAAGCTCACTCCCTTCTTTAAATCAGCCCCATTCTGTTACCTCTCCTGCAAGTGTTCATCTCTGACAAACTTTGTTCAAGTCTTCTTGGAGCCTCTTGCATAAAATCAACCAGATTTGAGAAATAATTGAATAACTGGAGAGGGGGATAAGGTTTTGTTAGCCTTCATCTTATTTTGCAACCTTTCAGGTGTTTTGAGCACCCAAGACCCTTTCACAGTTTTGTTTGGGCTTTGAGTGACTCTGGATAGAAAGTGCTCTAGGAAACCTGATCTGGGCTCAAGGATTTTCTGTTTCTGGTGGCCAGAATCAACACTCAACCTAGCACCCAACATCTAGCCCTGTATTGGAAGCAAGTTACTTAAATCATGGTGTCTCAGTACCCCTTCTGTAAAATGAGACCTGTAGTCTTACTTAAACTCTATGGGCATGAAACACTCTGGGATTCCATATTTAAAATCATTAAACAATCCACGGTCCTTTCTCAAACAAATTTCCCCACACTCTCCACAGTTTGAGTCAGGACTAGAACAAAAGAGCAAAAGAAATGAACTGTAGGGAAATCTTACATGGCTACTTCTTACTCCAAGAGACCAGAGGAAATAATGTTAGCTGTGTCCATCTCTAAGAAAAGACTAGATTTCCTTTAATTACCCACCCACTTTCAGGACAGAACATTAAGAAGCCAGAAGACATGATACAGGAAAGGGTCCCGCTTTGCCTGTGCTTTGGTTTTAGGTGTCAATGTCTATTTCTGAAAGTTCCAGGAAGACCATCCTCCAGCTGATTGCTTTAAGGGGAAAATGAGAATGACAGCCATGTTTGTTGAGTTGTGTGTTTGAGGAGAGACAGACACAGGAAGGTCAGCATCACATCTTACCACTCCCCTTCTCTAGTACTCCTCTTCTCTCACCCTTGTTTGTTTTCTTTTACTGGGAAGATATAAGATTCCAAATAGCGGGGGCTGGGGATTTAGCTCAGCGGCAAAGCGCCTGCCTGGCAAGCGCAAGGTCGTGAGTTCGGTTCCCGGTACCGGAGAAAAACCAAAACCAAAAAAACAAACAAACAAAAAAAAGATTTCAAATAGCTTTGAAGATAGTAATCTCAGTTCCTCCTTGAACTATAAAAAGACGTAAATATTTTTCATGATTTAACACCTTAGAGGTAAAAAATCAGAAACAGAGGTCTTTTACACCTCTCTCCAAAGTGAAGTTCACCATCCCTCTGGCTGTGTCTCAAATCTTGTACAGAATCACCTTGGTGCTTTGAATAAGACAGATGTCTAGGTCTTAACATAAATCAACCCAGAATTCCCTGGAGTAGGGCTTGGATATGTGTGTGTGTGTGTGTGTGTGTGTGTTGCTAAGTATCTCAGGGTCTCACAAGCAGTAAACAAGTGCTGTACCACTGAGCTATACTCCTATCCCCGAATCTGCATTTTTAACAAGCTTCACAGCATTTGACACCTGTATCTTAAAGACCTGATCAAGGTCATGCTGTTGCTAATAACTGGTCTCTATCTCTGGATTACTCTGATCTATTTTAAAGAAAAAAAATGCTGCAGTTAGCATGTTGTTTTAGTACACAGTATGTGCTAATTATGACCAGTGACACCATAAAATAAAAGTGCATTGCTGAATGCTTTCAGTTTCTTATAATGCTGGTAAGGTGGCATGTCATGGGGCCATTTTAGCCCCAGACATCACTCCAGAGAATTCCAAACAGATATAGACGAGTGCCATCAGGACCCAGATCCTTTCAGCGTAGGCTGTTTACTCATGGGAATAGGATGTCCTAAAGCAACACTTCCCCTAAGTGAAACGTTGATAAGTCTGGTTATCAGAAAGATATTACTGGGAGTGTGATAGGCAGGGCATTCACATTTTCTCGATAGGTCAGTCATGAAGGCTGACAAAGAAGGAAAAAGACCGGTGATGTGGTGCAATCTCAACAGACAGCTGTCCCCTGGCTTCTCGATAAATAGGATGACTCACATTGCTGAGCGGTGTGCTCACTGCCGAAGGAATGGCCCTCTCACATTTCTTCCTGATTCACATATTCAGTGGGGCAAGCTTGTCATCCCCTCCTTCTTGGGCTTCCCAGACATTGAGTCTGGAATGAAAATTCACCTGCCTCTGAGTTGGCCACTGGTGGGGGGAGGGCAGTTACTTGGGTTCCCAGGTTGGAAGATTATCTCACCCAGCCCAAACTATATAAGCTGGCTAGGGTGGAGAAGTGCAGCAGGGCTCACTCCAGGGCTTTATTCTACAGGAGAAAAACACACAGACTCGCAGCCGCCAACATGATGGTGCTGAAAGTAGAGGACCTGGTATGTAAGACATTATTTTTCCTCAGTGAAAACTGGTTCATCTTGGTTTTTATTTGTCAGTTGAAATGCACTTTTCTTTCAAGCAAAATGTCATGTGTGGAAAAAGTTGGTTTATGTGATAATAATAGTGAAATTGGAAAAAAAAAAAATGGAGCTGCCAGTAATGATTTCTGTGCATATTTCCTACTTATTATCTTCTCCTTTGGTTTTGTTACCATAGTGTAGGATCAAATGTAGCTATCAAAATGCCTTAGAGTAGATGATGTTTTAGTGCAAGAATACGTGGCTGGACACTTTATAACTCAAGGCTAAGAGTTACCAAAATCACTTAAAATGAAGGAATTTTAAGTAAGTAGAGGGAGTTTGTAACTTTCGTGGGAGAAATATGATTATGTGGATTAAAAGTAGATTTAAGTGTATCAACCTCACCTAACCCTTGATTCACCAAGCAAGTAGCTCAAGCACCTGAAGATGACCCTGGCATGTCTGTAGCTGGTGTTGCAGCCTGGGATCTGAAAGCACACTGCCCTGCATGGGGTGACTGGCCTTAGAGAAGGAAGAACAGGGCCATCCCGAAGCATCCTCTGTAGAGAAAGACTCCCCAGGATGTGTACCGCTGCTTCTGACCCTGCCATCTTCTCTTGTAGGTCACGGGGAAGAAGAACAGCAATGAGGAGGCAAGGGAATTCCTTCCTGAGGATTTCAGAGATGGAGAATATGAAGCTGCTGTTACTTTGGAGAAGCAAGAGGATCTGAAGACTCTTCCCGGCCACCACGTGAGCCTGGCAGAGCAACAGTGGAAAAGCGAGAAACAGCGAGAGGCAGAGGTAAGCACCTTCTGGGGACTCTGCTAGTGGAAGGTTGAGGTTGGGTTGGGGCAGGATGTGACAGGGAAGGAGAGAAAAGAGAAAAAAACTAAACTAAACCTTTCCAAAATGTTTCTTTACCAAATTCTAGCCCATAAAGTGGCAGAGGCAGGGTATCTAGAACAGGTTTGGAGGAATACTTCTTAGACAAGACCACGACCTTTGAATGGTCAACCAATGGTTTAATATGCTCTGATCAAGTTTTGATTGAAAGATAAACTTGATAATTATGTGTCATGAACTTCCAATGCGATACACTGTCTACTTAATCCCAATCAAGAGACCTCTTTCTTAATAACATGGTTTTCATTCTATGGATCGTTGTTAAACTGTGTCTGTTATTGTTACTGACATAATCTTTGTTGCTGAATGAATTTTCATTACTTACTAACACAGGTAAAATGGATACTACTTAGCTGTGGTCCTGGGACAATCTGTTTCAGAGACCCTAATTAGTGGACAACCTTAAAGAGAATGGCATTGATATTTCAGAACACAATATATATTATTAGATTCTTTTCAGTTAAAAAAATTAATTTTTGAGCATGATAAAGAATTCTACAGAAATCTGAGACTTGCTTATGACATTAATTTCAAAATCATAACTTACAGACTAGATGGTATCTCCAATTAGTCAAGGGTTGATTCTATAAGCAAAAGAAGTAAATATGAAGGCACTTAGTTGAAAATTAGATCTCTAAATCCTTGAATATAAAACCACTAAATTGAAATCAAAGGTTTATTTAATTTTTTTTGCTCAAACTGCTCACATACTTATCTTAGACCTTGAAGATTTTGTTTACACACCACCAGAATGCATCAGTAGAACTCACTCTATTTTTGAAATCTAAATTTATTTTTTAGCTCAAAAAGAAAAAACTGGAACAAAGATCAAAGCTTGAAAATTTAGAAGACCTTGAAATAATCATTCAACTGAAGAAAAGGAAAAAATACAGGAAAACTAAAGTTCCAGTTGTGAAGGAACCAGAACCCCAAATCATCGTAAGGCTCGTTTGACTTTGCAGCACTGCACATCAGATGTTGCCCTGCAGGGAAGCAGTTATGGGTGGAGGGTTGCGTCAAATGTGGAAAGCTCGTAATAATTTTCACACTATTGTGGGCACTTTAGACAGAACCTGTGGATGTGCCTCAGTTTCTGAAGGCTGCTCTGGAGAATAAACTACCAGTAGTCGAAAAATTCTTATCAGACAACCATAAGCCAGATGTCTGTGATGAGGTAAGGCTTATAAAAAATACTACAAAATCCAGCTCATTAATTCTGTGTTTCTGATGCTGTAGTGCAGCCTTGTGATTGTGGTGCCAAAGTCTTTCTACCTGAAACAGTTTCCGCAGCTGTTGCCACATACGCCAGCAGCAGAACAAGAGAGTGCAGTGGTCCTCCTAACACTGCCAACATTGTGTATTAGTGCAATAGATTACGCGGCTTGTTGTGAACATATAATTTTGGATGATTTTTCCTTTGTCATTAACTTCTGAGATTTTTGAGATAGAATTTTAATAAGGCAAAGCTGAAGAGCTACTTTTGGAAAAATATAATATTAGCATCATCAGCAGCAGACAGGGAATCTAAAGACTAGAGCTCAAGTTCTAGTTTTATCACTACTTGACTACTTTATTTTGAACAGTTCATTTGCATTCTATCAGCCCTATTTTCCTTTTTTGCAAACACAGGTCTTGCAGTAAAATAATGTTCCAAGTTATTTCTGTTTGAGTAGCCTATTAGCTCATTCCTATGAAGCCAACTTGCTGAAAGTCACTAATTTTTTCATATAAGTGACGCCATTAAGTGAAACAGGGGATCACACCAAAAAATGAGTCTCCCATTTTCTTAGAAATGAATTAGGTATTTTTTGATAGCAGCCTAGCAACACCTCTAAATGGAAGAACACTGGATGTGTATGGCAAATATTTCATGAACAAGAATGGTGCAAAATATAAGACAGAGAAATGTCAGCATTTACATAGTTTTGAAGTTTTAAGTCCATATTCCTCTGTGTAGACCTTTGAGCACTTACAAATGCTTGGGGTGGGAAGCTCAAATCACAGTTGCAAGATAATTGTTCTAATTCTGCAATTCTAACTAAGTTTGACTTGCTAGGTCATAAAGAAGCACTTGAGTTTCTGTCAGTCAGGTCATGAGATTCCTCAGTTTCATGTCTTTTAAAGGATTACGCACATTTATATATGCACTGCTATCTCCTTTTTAAAAACCTCTGACAGTATAAACGGACAGCCCTCCATAGAGCATGCTTGGAAGGACATTTGGTAATCGCGGAGAAGTTAATAGAAGCTGGAGCCCAGATTGAATTCCGTGATATGGTAAATATATTTCTTTGCTTGGAGATGAGCCAAAGTAAATAGACTATATGGAGCTCTAGAAACCCTACAATGAAAAAATGGGCTGATTGGATTGAAATTGATCTGAGAGAACTAGGCAAAACCTCATTTCTCCATACAAAGGAAAGTTGGGAGATGGGGCCAGGTCATGTGGAAAGTATTTCCCATACATAACTGAAAAGGAAAGAGTTCCAGAGAAGAGAAGGATGTAAAGCTATGGAACAGAATTCAATAACCTCATCAAGGAGTTGGGTCCTTATGAAGTCAGTAGCACTATTCAGAAGTAATACAGTGAACACTTGCCTTTCAACACCTCTGCCTTCCATTACGCACAGCAGCCTGCTTTTTGCCCCTTGGCTGCCAACAAGGATACAAATTTTTTAGCAGCACATTTTATATGTTAGGTGCCAATTGCTATCGATGAGATTTGGAGCTAGACTGCATACTGAATGAACTGCATCTAAGGAAAATAGCTGCTATTCAGACCTTAATAATTCAACTACTGTTGCTTTCTACAAAGACCGGTATGCAACCTATTTTGTGAACTGAAGACTGAGCTTGGAGAATGCTTCATTTATTTAAATGGAGCTCAGTTTGACTTCATGGCAAAGTGGAAAATGAATAGCAAAGAAACAAACCAAAAACAAAACAACTCCAAAGGACTTAGCCAAAACTGAACCTCAAACACAATGAAAAAAAGCAAAAGAACAAATAATAATAAAGATTGCATGGAAAGGCACCAACACCATGAGTGTGGGACTTGGAAGGCCAGAGCAGTGAGATACTAAATAGAGGAGTGAACCCTACCTATACAACTCAGTGCAGTGCAGCGTGGCTACAGTGATGACAGCTGCAGGCCAAGGCTGCTCCAGTGTATTCAACCCCAGGGAACCAGCAAGAATAAACGGGCAAAGAGCAACAGGGTTGACAGATGAGGTATTACATCCAGATTAAGAGTATTTGGAAAGGGACTTTTGTTCTGCCAGAATTTTTAAATATGCATGTTTAGAAATTTTCAATGTATTTGAAAAAAATGGTTCAACGTGAGTTTGCCTATCTATTTTGCTACTTACTATGTGTCCTTGGGCAAAATGTGCATGGCAACACCATTTCATACTTTGCTGGATCAAGATATTTGGAAGTTCTAGCACCATGTTGGTAAGAGGAAACTCTCAATAAATAGCTTTTTTTTTTTTTTTTTTTTTTTTGGTTTTTCTCCAGTACCGGGAACCGAACTCACGACCTTGCGCTTGCCAGGCAGGCGCTTTGCCACTGAGCTAAATCCCCAGCCCCTAAATAGCATTTTTATTCTTTTAAATTTTGTTATATTTATTGAGAGCCTCCTAATGTTATACACATATGCACACAAATACACACACGAGTGTGCACACACATAGTCATGGTTTACAAGGACATGTGGCAAGTACCTTCAACTATAATAGTTACAACTGACCATCTGATGAGGATTTCCCAGTGCTATCATAGATACCCTAGCAAACCTGCATTCTGCTGGGCCTTAGAAACCACGTGTGAATCCCTTGACTAGGTTCTCTTTTACATTTTTCTGTCCTTTTCTTTTCCCATATAGCTTGAATCCACAGCCATCCACTGGGCGTGCCGTGGAGGAAGCCTGGATGTTTTAAAATTGTTGCTGAACAAAGGTGCAAAAATCAGTGCCCGAGATAAGGTATTTCCCCTCCCAGCACCCACCTTCCCTCTGCCTCCTTCCTCTCACTTCCTAATCCCACCTCTCCACTGAGGTCCCTGGAAGCCCATCTCGTGTGGCCACCCTAATCACGTTCCCCCACCAGCATCTGCCTTGGGCTCTGGGACTACTTTTGGGTCACAGCCAGCCAAACAGCAGTGTTTTCTAATTTTCCAGCTGCTTAGCACAGCGCTTCATGTGGCTGTGAGGACCGGCCACTATGAGTGTGCGGAACACCTCATTGCCTGCGAGGCAGATCTCAACGCCAAAGACAGAGTGAGTAGCCTACAGTACTTGTAATCACTCAAGCAAGCCTGGGTGCCCTCTCAAGAGCCACTTCCTGAAGGCAGACCTCCCACTAACCTGCTTACTTTGCCTCTGTAGGAAGGAGATACCCCTCTCCACGATGCTGTGAGACTGAATCGTTATAAGATGGTCAGACTTCTGATTATGTACGGTGCTGACCTCAACATCAAGAACTGTGTAAGTGCTTGGACAAGAAACACCACTTGTGGGTTTTCTAATTGCCAGACTTTCCCAAATAATTAAAGTAGTCCCACAATAGTAATATTTTGAGGGATCTACCATTGGTTTAAATGGCCCTGTCCATATGTGGCAAGGATTTGGCAAAGATTTGGGTCAAATATTCAGAAATACAGGAAGCCATCACTACGGCTGTGACTTCCGTACCTAATACAGCACATAATAATTCTTTTAAAATTTGGTTTTGAAAATAAAAGATCGTCAAAGTCCTGACCTTCACAAATATCTGTGTTGAAGTCTAACCTGTCTTGGTCGTTTCTGGCTGCCCTGAGTGTGGAATAGTTAGGAACTGATACACCCACCATTCCTTGAATGGACTAAAATTCCACAGTAGCTCATGGACCAAATGAACTAAAATTAGTTGATATTTAAGCTGGGTAATTCAGAATAGTCCTTTTCTCCTTATAACTACGTTACATGTCATCACTTTCTTCTAGGGGAGCCACGCTTTTGCCTGTGTTTTTCAGACAACTTCTTTGCATCCTCCCCTTGGATTTATCTTTAAATGTCTCAAAATAATTTCCTATATTAAGGTCCTGAAATTTATGCTTAAGTACAAAAAAATTAATTTTATCAGTAAGCGGGAATGTAAGCAACTTTTCCAGATAGTCTCAGGTCCCCCAAAATATCATCTAATAGAATCTTTAAAGATACCATCAGGAGGAATGGGTACAATTTATGGAAAAAATATTTTTAAACATTTGAATGAATCTCTTTATAACAAAGAAAAATGTCATCTTATGAATGCAAATAATTTCCTTCCCTTATTTGAGTCATTGTAAGACTGAGGAAAATATATTTCATCATAAAAGAAAAAAGAAAAGCAAGAAATCTGGTTTGGTGACAAGAAAGAAGAAGGGTGATAAGTGAACTTGGTTGGATAGGAAATGTGGGATGCTTCATACTGAATACTGTGGTTGATCTTGCTTAATGATTTAAACTACCAGAAAAGGCGTAGATTCAGAGCAATCAGCAAAAGTGAAGAAAATAGGAAGATTTTTTTTTCAGGCAGTGAGACCTAACCAGTAGACATAAATAGCACAGAGATATGGGAAGAGTATGTAAGTACCCAGAAAATAGGGAGATAACTTTCAGTAGAGAAGAATGCAAGGAATTTGTGGGAGACTAGTCCAAAATAAGCAAACAGGGCTCACACTTCTGAATTATCAGTTAGCCCTCAGCAGAAAGGACTGGGAGCTATTAATGTCACTGACTCAATAGATTGACATTCCCTCTCCAGAAAGCTAGTGGATACTATCTTAAAGTGTATTTGAAGCAACATATATTTTACCATTGTCCAAAACTCAGTAGTCACATCCACAGTGTTCTTCCAGAAAGTCTCTGCAGAAGAGAAGAAGTTCCAAAATGGAGGTTATAGAACCACCAGGTCTAATGTCTGTAGTGGCCAGGTAGCTCACCTCTAAATGACACAATCAAGTGGCTCCTGGGATCTCTGCACAGGACCCCAGGGGTAGCTTTTTCCTTGTGGAGTCCACTGTTGCTCTGTGGAGTCAAAGTACTGGGTTGCCAACTTTAATTTTGTTTTTCATAAAGGTCACAAATTCACTTGAGAACTCTCTTGATGGTCAACCGTTGCCAATGAAATAAAATAATATCTAATCTTTAAAAAAACTTTTCTTAGCTGGGTGTATTAGTACACGCTTATAATCCCAGAACTTGAGAGGCTGAGGTAGGAGGATTGTAAGTTCAAGATCAGTGTGGCCTAGACAGTGAGACTATTTCAAAGAGAGAGAGAAAAATATTTTCTTAAAATGCATTGCTTCTAATTTAGGTGCAAACATAACAGAAATGAACCAGTTTGAATTTTAAAACTTCTGGTTTGTGATAGCTGAGCTAAAGAGATAGTTCTGAATGAATAGAGATGGAAATATTTAAAACTTCGCATATCTAAAGACAAGAATTGAGAAGTGACATGGTTTTAATATTTACAAATATCTTGAGACATATGCATAAGGGAAACAAAACTTTGTCTCAAAATTATTTATTCATACATGCTATTCCGTAAACCCCAAGAAAATTACATTTCTCAGAGATGTGCCGCGTAAATCCTGAGAAGTGAGAAATCTGCTCTCAAGGCAGTCACAGCACCATAGTGACACTTGCGTACTTAAGCGAAGGTACTCATTTATCCCCAGTCCTTATCAGTTCAAGAACTATTTTCCACGTTGATAGGGTCAAAAGAGATATTGCCATCTCCCAGAGCCCATTTGGGAAGCGACTGTAACTATCTACAGGTACAGCTTGACTTTCAAAGTAATATGAGGGCTCTTACCAGTTAGTGTCTAAGAACCAGGAACTTTCCCCGTACTGGAGTAGTCCTGCAATGGGACTAATCTAAAATATCAGAACCATTTTTGTGAGAAACAGTGAAAGGCTTCTTTGAATATAAACTGCAAATCACTGCTAGTGGAAATCACAGAACATCCCGATCACATACTCCTCATTAGCAGACCCACTGACCGGATGCAAACTGATGGGTTCCTCTGGCCTGCAAGTCAAATTTCCTCCTCTCTTTTTAACTAGGCTGGGAAGACCCCGATGGATCTGGTGCTGCACTGGCAGAACGGAACCAAAGCAATATTCGACAGCCTTAAGGAGAACTCTTACAAAACCTCTCGCATAGCTACATTCTAGGGGAAACTTTTATCTGTAGCTGCTCACTGGCACTTTGAAGGGATGACCCAAAAGAAGAGTGAGCAGCCATAAAGCCCTGCTTCTATTATCAACCTGTTATGAAGATGTACCTAATGAAGTTTCAAGAGAGCATGGGTTTATAGGGGTTGTTTCCTCTAGTGAAATTCACTCTATTTTATTTATTCCTGTTTATTTACTTTTATGACAACAACATTCAGACTTTCATGAGCATCCATTTGGTGAGCAAAACTTAATTTATCTGTAACACGTTCGGCGCCTTCCTATAGCTAGTTCTAAGCCATGTGAATGAGCAGTGCAGAGATTTGCAGGTATTTTGAAAGGACAGAGGGGATTACTGCAGGAATACTTCCTGCAGAACTTTTAATGTTGACATTTGCATGAGCAGTGGAAGGCATTCAAAGGAAAGGAAGCAAGCGACTGAAGGCGATTCTGTGGTAGGGAAGTGAAGCCAGCATTTCATTGTTGGGCCTGTTTTGTTTTTTGCTTGGCCAAATGCACAGGGCACCAAGGGGAAAGAATGTCAGGAGCGTATGTGCAGGGCAGTGCAGGGAGCACCTTTATGCAGAACTGAGTTTAATCTAAAAGGCGAGAGAAATGCAAACTGTAAATGTGCAGATGTATATTGTGTTGTATTTATATTTTATATTCATAATAAAAGCAAATAAACTCTAAAGGTCTACTTCTTTCGTAACAATGGCGAGAATGTCCCATGTGGAAAAGGCAATCGAGAAGGGCTTTCTTTTTCCAAGTTTCTTAGATTAGAAGAAGCTATCCTGTAAAATAGCACTCTCAGCATTTAATGTGTATGAAGATGACCTAGGGAAAAGAAAAATAAAGTCTGTTAAAATGCACATTCAGATTCAGCCGGTATCAGATGAGACCTGGGAGTCTGTACCTCTAACAAGCTCCCAGGTGATGCAGAGGCCTTGGAATAATCCTGAGCTGCAGGACTGAGGACCATGAATACACTACACAAAGAAGCTCGTCCTTCCAGCTCTAATGGTGTGGAGAAAGTGACCCCTGGTGGTCAGAAGGACTCCTACAAGTTAAAGGTGCTCCCTAGAAGTTAACCCTAAGTATTTGGACTCATTAAGCCTGTGGACAGAAGCTGGCAGGAGTACAGGCTTCCCATAACAATATACCAGGTCAATGGCTTTTGACCTCCAGTGGAGCTGTTTTGTTGCCAGGTGCTAAGGTACATGCCAAGACCTTTGACAAGAAATAACATTGTCTGTGTCCAGCCCTCTTGGAACAGATAAATTTTAAAAAGATAATTAGAAACAAGCATATGGTGTCATTCTGTGGCAAGCACAGTGAAGGAAAAAAGACACAGCATGCTATGGATGTCTAACATCTATCTGATGGGAAGGGAGGAGGTTTCTAAAAAGATTTCTTTGAACCAGGTACAGTGTGGCACATGCCTGTAATCTCAGCTACTTGAGAGACTTAGTCAAGAGGATCACAAATTCTAGGCAAGACCTGGCAACTTAGTGAAACCCTGTCTACAAATAAAATAAAAAGAGATGGAGATGTAGCATTGTGGTAGAGTGGTGAAAAGATTTGGTGTTACCACATATAGCAATTTTCACTAATAAAGATGTAGAGGGCATGTGGAATGATATGGAGTAAATCTCATGAGAAAAAGGCCAACTCTTGGTCAGTTCTGCTAATGGGCAGCATAAATACTTGAGGGAAAAATTCCAAGTTTCTGTCATACAAGTAGTAAATTTTGATAAGGCTCTTGTCTTCCCACGGAGCCAACTCTTTGCCCACAGTCTTGTAACTTGTGTTTCCTTTCAGTGGGTGTCACGTCCCAGTGGCCAGTGGAGAAAATTGGAAATTGAGGGGCTGGGGATTTAGCTCAGCGGCAAAGCGCCTGCCTGGCAAGCGCAAGGTCGTGAGTTCGGTTCCTGGTACCGGAGAAAAACCAAAAAAAAAAAAAATAAAATTGGAAATTGCTCTTGACTTTCTCTTCACCGTTCCTTTTTAAATTAACCACCAAGTCTTACCAAGAACACTGTCTAAGTAGCTCTTTAATCTGTCCATATCCACAAATCCTTCAGTGGCTTATTGTTACCCTTAGGATGAACTGAAAACTTAACATACTTCACAAAATCCTTAAAATCTGGCTGCTGTTGACTCTGTTCCTTTTTGTTTCTGACTCTCTTCATATCTCTACTTTTCTAGCCACCTCTAAATTTCAGCTCTTCTGAATTTTCAGGTCCTTAAAGAATCCAGCCATTGGCTCCTAAGTTTTCATGTATTGTGCCAGCTCCCAGGAAATCTTCCTTCCTATCCCAGCCCACTCTAATGCACTGAAAAATTTCTACTCATCCATCTCCTTTGGTTTAGCTCTGTATCTTCCCAGAAGCCATTCTCTAACCTACAGATTTTGTTAGTTTCCCTCAAGTGTGTTTCTGTTGTACTTTATTTTTTCCTATGCTGGGGCTGGGGATTTAGCTCAGCGGCACAGCGCCTGGCTGGCAAGCACGAGGTCATGAGTGTGATTCCCGGTACTGGAAAAAAAACAACAGAAAAAAAGAAGAACCTATTTTTTTCCCATGCCACAATATCATATTGTTTTACCTCTCCTCTTCACAGCCAATGGAAGATTTTCCCCTCTTCTCTTATATAAGCAATACATATTCATTAAGTATTAAGTCAATGTAGAGATAATAAAGAAAGCCAGTATCACCAGTTACCCTAACTGCATGGAGTTATTTCTGTGCACATTATGTGTAGGCACTGTACATTTATTTTTATAGCTTTTTCAATTGAATAACTTTTAATAGAGATCTTTATAGATAGCATTCTTTTATTTCAATGTACACTGGATCATTTAATCCTGTTGTTATTATTTAGGTTTCCACTTTTCCTTTATTTTAGACATTATTGTAGTGAATACTCTATCCCTGCACTCACTGTACCCAACCAGTTATTTCTAAAGAATGAATTTATAGAAGTACTTTTTCAGTTTTAAAATTTTTATTAGTACATGTTTTCAGTACATAATATTCATCATGGGGAGTTGGTACATGTATGTGACACTTATTTCTTCATCCCTTTCCCCTCGACCCCTCTCCCACCTACAGAAGTATGTATAGGGTGGGTACCAAATTATACCTTCTTCCACGACGTTACTTTCTCTCCTGGTCTTCAAAATACTTGTTTTATAAATCTTTTTATCTTTCAATCTGATGAACAAAACAAATATTTTTTATTTTTTATGTTAATGACCAGTAAAGTTCACCATCTTCATGTTTATTGGACACTTTTTTAAAAATCAACTTTATTAGCTCAGTTTTCTATTCAGTTGAGTCCTTTTGAATCCTGTGTGTGTGATGTGTTTATCGAGGGTGCTCTGTAAGGAAATGAGAGGAACAGGCCAGAGAAAAAAAGAGGCAAAGATGTAGTTTCAGGAGAAATCGATCCTCAGCCTAATCCCCTGTGGTACTCAGGACCATGAATTGCACCCTTGAGGTCAGAGGCTAGGCTCAGTCTTGCATCAGTCATCAGCCATGGGTCAACCTTAAAGGGGACAAAACTTTCCAGGCATCTCAAAGCAAGGTGACTTGTCAACCAGGACAATGCTCTGGGAAGAATGAAATAAGCATTCAACATCTGAAGAATCTGGAGGATACCGTGGGTATGCCACCCTAGGGAAGGGATCTGGTTTAACATTAACAGCATTTACCATGATATGTATTTGCAAAAATAATTTCTTAAGTGACAAGGATATTAAACCTCTTTGGAATTTACACTGTAAATATACTTTTTTTTTTCCGTACCTGGAATCAAACTCAGGACCTTGTGCTTGCCAGGCAGGTACTGTGAGACTGAGCTATTTGCCCAGCCCTAAATGTACCTAAATGTTGGATTTATCTAACAGAACATATTTTATAGAGACAAACCAATCAAACCTTTTGTTTTCTGACTTTATTACACTTAGGTTAGTCCAATATTATGCTATACACTCTACATTTCTGTGCAGTATTTTACAACTTCAGTTTAAATTTAACTCTCTAATTCAGCTGAATTTACTATGCATATATACATAGGGGAGGTAGGGGCCTGATTTAGTTTCTTCCCTAAATAATAGCATAAAAATTAATAAAAGGTAAAAATAATAGCTAAGAATACCACCCAAGAATTATAGTTGATATTTGGTAGGTACGTTCTGTATGACTGGCTCTGCTATAAATAAATCTTCCAGAAGTGTTAATTTATTTAACATTTACAATAATGTCACACGTAGGGAGGATAGATGAAGTGATGCATAGAGAAATTATATACTTTACCCCAGGTCAAAGCTAGTAAATACCAGGAAAATAAGATTTTAATGTGTATAGTTTGTCTTCAATCTATATATATAAATGATATGTTGTACTGCCTCTCCCAAATAAATAATTGCTTCAATATCACATACTGAACAAGCCACCATTTCATTACACAAATCTTTGGAGTGTGGCTCTGGACTTCCTACTCTTTCTTTGATCTTTCTGAATTTGTGCACCAGTTATGGTTTTAATTACTAGAGTTCTACTGTACTTTATTATTCAGCTGTTCAAACCTCTCTGCCCACATTTTTCTCCAATATTTCCTAGATATTCTCATATTTATTCTTCCAGAATCTCAAGTCCCAAGCCGAGTATATAAATAAGGAAACAAAAGCATCAATAGGCAAGTTGATTTGAATTTTACCAAATTCATAGATTTGGGGAGATTTGATCTATAATTTTTCATAAAAGTCTCCATGCTATTTCAGTCTTTCAGAATTGCTCCTCTCTCTCTCTTCTATATATATACATATATATATATGTATATATATATACCCATATACTTTTTAAATTTTTTTTGTTTCAGGTTGCTTACAGGAACCTTGGAATTAATTGTTAATTATTTTTTGTCTTTTTTTTGTTGTTGTTTTTTGTTTTTTTTTCCGGTACCGGGAATCGGACTCACAACGTTGCGCTTGCCAGGCAGGCACTGTGCCGCTGAGCTAAACCCCCAGCCCCTATTTTTTGTCTTTTTGAGACAGGGTCTCGCTATGCAGCTCAGGCTGGCCTTAAGATCACTTTGTAACCCAGGCTGGCCTTAAACGTGCAACAATCCCCCTGCCTCAGCCTCCCGAGTGCTGGGATTATAGGTGTGTGCCACCACGCCCAGCTTATACTTTTTTGAAATACAGTTTTCTTCAGAGAAGTCTTATACACACATCTTGGCAATTTATGTCATGGTCACCTTTTAAAATTAATTTTATAATAGGTTATTAATTATAACTATTGGATTTGTATATTTATTTTACAATTGGCCCCCTTGCTAAATTTTTATTAAACCATTACCGTAGATGTTCCAACAAAGTAAATGTATTAGGAGGAAACCCACTTGCTGTTCCCTGGTGACCAATCAGCCATCACGCACTCCTATTTTGAGTAATGATATAATCATATACTTATAAAAACTGACACAACTGCATACACACACTATACTATAAACTAAGAAGCACCTATATTTCTAATTCTTTTTCATTTGCTTGAGTTTTCCAAAACAGTCATACCTGCACATAATTTTACCTCCTTTCTGTAACACGAAAATCTTCAGTAGTAGTTCTACAATGGGAACTAGTGTAGTTAATTCACAGAATAAAGTGCAGGCATCATAAAAAACTGAAGG